CTTTTTATTTTGTTACTTTGCGTTTTTAAGTGTACGTTTTTCCGTTTGCATTATGTTTGCTTACGTTCTTATGTCTGCGTTAAATCTTTTGTGTTACGTTTACGGTCTTACGTCTTTGTATTTACGTCCCGCTGTTTTAAATTTCTTTGTTAAATTCTTACGTTTGCGTTCTTAGGGAATATTCAAATTGAAGCATTTTGAAGCATTTTTTTTACTTATTTATTTAAGTTTTGTTGCGTTTTTTACGTATACGTTTTACGACTCAGCTATGTTGTAGTACTTGAAACACACTCTAAATACTTACGTCTTAAGTTTTGTGTTAAGTGAACGTTTTTACGCTTGCGTTGCCTAGTATGCTTACATTCAAATGTCTACGTTATACTTTTTTTTAGTCTTTTGTGTTACGTTTACGTTCTTCCTCTGTTGCGTTCTTAAGTTTGAGTTTTTATAAAATACTCAAATTGAAGTATTTGGAGCATTTTTACGTTTTTATTTTTTTAGTTCTCTTGCGTTATTTACGTTTACGTTTAAGACAGAGTTATGTAGTAGTACTTAAAACACGCTTTAAATACTTACGTCTTATGTTTTGCGTAGTACGACTACAGATAATTACCTTTTTATGTTGCGTTTTACGTTTTTTTAATGGAAATGTACTTTTTTCCACATCCTTAAACTTAGATTTTTTTTTGTAAAATTATGTGATATTTAATGTTTTTTTTGCGTTTTTCTCAAGTTTTTACGTTTACGCCTACTTCTCCGTTTGTATTAGTTTCTACGTTATTTTTTCTTTTTTATGTTTTGATATCTATTTCTTTTTGACTTTTCTTAGTTTTTAACAATAAAAACTTGAAATATTCATCGGTTTTTAGATTATTTCCACTTGCTAACTTTTTTTGTTTCTTTTGTATTTTCTAAGTGGATTTCAAAATAAGAATATAAGATATATGACATTCTAAGTATGTATAATGTTTTTTTTTTGTTAAGTTTTTTTAACATTTAAGTTTGCGTTCTTACGTTTAAGGCTTACGTTTTACTTACTTGCTTAAGTTCCAAACAATGTTTTTTTCATTTTTTATCTTTGATTCTTTTTCTGCTTGTGCGGTCTTTGGATCGCAAAAAGTGGTAAAATAAGCAAAGTGGTGTTTACTTGGTTGCCTACACACTAGAGTACTGAAATAGCTGGTTGCCTAACTATTAAAGGAATTTTATTTTTTCAAAGTTTTATTTTTAGTAATTACATAAAAATAAATTGGTTGCATAGCCTCAAATTGCAAATTCGTTTAAAAAAGGTAAATTTTTGGTAAAAAAACTACAAGACCAATATCACACACGTAACTAACCAAAACACGTAATTAAAACCTAAATTAAGTGTAATAATGAAATAATCGGCTGAAAGTGATGTGTTATAGAGATGGCAAACTGAAATTTGTACTTGTCACCTGTCAAGGTCATTGCGGTTAAGTTTCCGAACCGGAATTAAGTTGGTAACAAAACTGTCACCTGTTGCCAACTTAATTTCAAATATCGGAAATGCGTGAAAAAGACGTATTTTCTTAGGTATAAAATTGCGTGAGATCTGAATTAGCATTTCAAAGGGCGACATTGCACCCCAGTTTCAGTACATCTGCACTCTAAACACGGATTTGACAATTCGGAAATTATCCTGCCAACTCGATACATCCTTCCATAGATATTACAGCCCGCCAATTTCAAAATTCCCACACTTGAATCGACGTTGTTTGAGTCAAATTCAGTCGTTGGGCTTTGTTGTGTTGTTGTTGTTGTAATTTCCTCCCCGGTTGAAAACAACAACTGCAGGACTTTATCCAAACTGAGCGGTTTTTCACTTGTTGTTGTTGTTGTTTTCCGGTTGAGAATGTCGACGATCAGTGACTGGAGATTGGGGGCGGGTTCGGTCCGGATCACGTCCCGGAAAGGGTCCGGAGTCGCCGTTTCCGGACTTGGGGTTTCCTTATCTAGAAACAACGCCAATTAAAAAATCCGGGGATTCCCCCTCACACTCTTACCACACGCATAAACTGGGCAACACAGCGTCGGGTCTTGGTGTAGAAATTTTTGACAGTCGATTTTCGGTATTGGACAGATGGTTTTTTGACAGACAATGTTGCCATAGAAACAACCACAAGTGTTGCATGTTGTTTCGGAGACGAGGGATTCCCCGTGATTGATTTCTTGTTCGTCGAGGATGCAGGTGATTTCGCGCAATTGAGGGGTGATTGTTGTTGTTGTTGTTGTGGGAAGTTCGTCGTATAAGTTGTCTAAAATTGGGGGTTGTTTGGGGATGAATCCGCCCTCGGTTTCCACAGGGGGTGAGAATAAGTTGTAGGTGTGCGAGACGTCAGTGACGCGTTCTTGGGGGTGGATTATATTGTGTTTTTCGTTTTCTAAGTCAAGGGCGTCCGCCGCCACAAAGGGGATGATTCTGGAAGGGGAAATTACGAGTTGCATACATGGTTTTTTACGTTTTCAATAAAAAAATACTTTGCGTTTTTAAGTGTACGTTTTACGTTTGCTTTGCGTACACTTACATTCTTACGTTTGCGTTCTTATTCAAATTGCAGTATTTTGAAGAATTTTTTTTATTTTATTTTTTAATTCTGTTGCGTTCTTTACGTTTACGTTTACGTTTTACGACAGAGTTATGTAGTACGAAACTTAAGTGCTTACGTTTTTAGTTTTGTGTCTTACAACTACATATAATTACCATCTTATGTTGCGTTTTATATTTTTACGTTTTTTTCCATTTTTGCCCAACTTTTTTATATTTTACGTTTTTAAGACAAAAATATTTAAAACTTCTTTACATTTCCATTAACTTACGTTCTTATGTCTGCGTTAAACATTTTTCTTGTCTTTGTCACGATTATGCTTTTACTGTTTACGTTGCGTCCTTAATTTACTTTGTTAAATTTTTACGTTTCGAAAAATATTTGAAACTATTTTGCGTTTTTAAGTGTACGTTTTCATTCTTATGTTTATGTTCTTATGTCTGTGTTATACGTTTTCTTTTCTTGTGTTACGTTTACACTCTTACTTCTTTATATTTACGTCCCTCTGTTGCGTTGCGTTTTTAATTTTTTTTTGTTAAATTCTTACGTTTGCGTTTTTATGAAATGCTCAAAAAAACTAGGAGTAGTATTTTTTAAAATTGTATTTGAATTTTTTCGTTTTTTCGTTACGTTTTTCTACGTTTTTACATTAAAATATAACTTTTTTGATGGAAATGTTTTGTTTACTTTTTTCTACGTCTTTACATACTACTTTACGTTTTTAAGTGTACGTTTTAACGTTTGCGTTGCGTTTTACATTTCTTTTTTTTATTTTGTGTTACTTTTACGCTCTTTGTTGCGTTGTGTTTTTAAATTTCTTTGTTAAAGTCTTACGTTAGCGTTCTTATGGAATACTTTAATTTAAGTATTTTGAAACATTTTTTACTTATTTTTTTTAGTTCTGTTGTGTTCTTTACGTTTACGTTTTACGACACAGCTATGTAGTGGTACTTAAAACACACTCTAAGTGCTTACGTCTTAAGTTTTGTGTCTTACGACTACATATAATTACCTTTTTATTTTGCTACTTTGCGGTTTTAAGTGTACGTTTTTCCATTTGCGTTATGTTTGCTTACGTTCTTATGTCTGCGTTATGTTTTTTGTGTTACGTTTACAGTCTTACGTCTTTGTATTTAGATCCCTCTGTTGCGTTGCGTTTTTAAATTTCTTTGTTAAATTCTTACGTTTGCTTTCTTATGGAATATTCAGACTGAAGTACTTTGAAGCATTTTTTTATTTTATTTTTTTAGTTCTGTTGAGTTCTTTACGTTTACGTTTTACGACAGAGCTATGTAGTACGAGACCGAAGTGCTTACGTTTTTAGTCCTGTGTCTTACGACTACTTCTTATGTTGCGTTTTACATTTTTACGTTTTTGTCACGTTTAGGCTTTTCCTGTTTACGTTGCGTCCTTAATTTACTTTGTTAAATTCTTACGTTTCGAAAAATATTTGACACTAGTTTGGGTTTTTAAGTGTACGTTTTCAATCTTATGTTTACGTTCTTATGTTTATTCTTATGTTTATTTTCTTATGTCTGTGTTATACGTTTTCTTATCTTGTGTTACGTTTACATTCTTACTTCTTTATGTTTACGTCCCTCTGTTGTGTTGCGTATTTAATTTCTTACGTTTACGTTTTTATAGAAATTGTATTTGAGTTTTTTCGTTACGTTTTTCTACGTTTTTACATTAAAATATATATTTTTTTGATGGAAATATTTTGTTTACTTTTTTCTACGTCTTTACATACTACTTGGCGTTTTAAGTGTACGTTTTTACGTTTGCGTTGCGTTTTTATTTTTTTTTGTTAAAGTCTTACGTTAGCGTTCTTATGGAATACTCAAATGTAACATTTTTTTTACTTAATTTTTTATTACTGTTATGTTCTTACCTTTACGTTCTTATGTCTGCGTTATACATTTTTTTGTCTTTGTCACATTTATACTTTCCTTTCTCTATGTTTACGTTGCGTTGTTGATATTTTTACGTTTTTAATATCTTTACCTTTCGATAAATTCTTACGTTACGTTATGTTCACGTTTTAACTTCACGATTTTGGTTTTCAAGTCATAAATTTTACAGGTTTAAATTCTCATATTTTTATGTCTAGGTTATTGCGTTTTTAAGTTTTTGTGTTAAATTCTTACGTTTCTACGTTTGTATATTTGATTATTTCAATAGGAATTTTTTTAAAGCATTTCCCAATTTTTTGTTACATTCTTACCTTTACGTTTTACGACAGAAATGTGCCGTCTTTTTTAAAACACATTCTACTCTTACTTTCTTATGTTACGTTTTAAGTGACGACTTACGACTACTTATTGCAATATATATAATTAATAATAATAATTAATAATTGCGTTTTACATTTTTTCAATTTTTGCGTAATTATTTATATTTGACGTTTACTTTCCATTCTTACGTCTTTTACGCTTTTAAGACAAAAATATTTAAAACTTCTTTACATTTCCTTTAACTTACGTTCTTATGTCTGCGTTATATATTTTTTCTTTTCTTTGTCATGTTTATGCTTTTATTTCTCTATGTTTACGTTGCGTTCTTTATTCTTACGTTTCGAAAAATATTACAACGAGTTTACGTTTTTAAGTGTACGTTTTCACGTTTACGCTCTTTACATTTCTATTTGCTGACGTTATGTTTGCGTTATACGTTTCCTTTTACCTTTTCTGCCACGTTTAGACTATTATGTTTACGTTCTATTGTTCTTACGATTTTAACATAAGTTTGCGTTTGCACGTTTACGTTGAGTTTGAAAATTTCTTTTCATAGTTTAACATCTCAGTACATTTTAGTGTTGATATTCTTACGTTTTTAACATCTTTACCTTTCGGTAAATTATTACGTTGCGTTACGTTTACGTTGTAACTTTAAGTTTTTGGTTTTCAAGTTAAAATTTTAAATTCTTACGTTTTTACGTTTACTTAAGTAGGAATTTTTTAAAGTATTTCCTAATTTTTTATTACGTTACGTTCTTACCTTTACGTTTTACACAGAAATCTTCTTCTTATGTTACGTTTTAAGTAACGACTTATTAAACTGAAAAATTACTTTTTTTCACACTCTATTTGCGTTAATTTTTCTTACGTTTATTCTTACGTCTACGTATACGACACTACGTTCTTACCTCAAATTTGGTAGAGATGGGGGCAACGACGGCTCACTGTAGTCATACTCATAATCCGGATCTTTACTCTTCGTAATATTGTAGATTAGGTCAAGATCCAGGGCCGGAGTCGTGTTTTGTGTATACACCTTTGTAAAAATTACAGTTTCCTGTTTTTCCAAATCAACAGTCGTAGGCACAATCGTAGTAGTCTCAGCCAACTCGAAACTGTCACTTTTTTCGTTCAAATTCGAGCAATCCGTGGAATTTAGAACAGTTTTCAGGGTTATTGGATACGTTTCAGTTGTCGTAAACTCAGTCGTAGCCTCACTTTCAGTTGTTTCAGTCGTTTCAGTACTGAAATCCTCGGTCGTAGTTGTCGTATCAACAGTTGACGTCATTTCAGTCGTCTCAACCGTTTCCACTCGGCGAATCAACCGATCATCAACTGAATTTTGATCAACTTTCGGTAAAATTTTCGACCCTTGTGTTGTAATGGAATTGTGGAAAAATGGTTTTACGGTACTAGGACTGAAAACTGGGCCTGTGAAATGTCGAGTTGAACCATGGGTTCGTTGGTTCTTGATGGTTGGTACTGTTACACTGTTTTTATCGTGGACTTCCTTCCGGAATTTCGCGTATTCTTTACTAATGATGGGAAAGTGGCCATAGTTGGGTTCCGGTTGAATTTCAATTGTACCACCTTGAAAAAAAAATTTTTGGTGTTATTTATTTTCTTTTTTGAAAAAAAAAACTTACTGCAATTGTAACTAGCAGCACAACATTCTCCGGGTCTTATCACCGGAGTACAACTGAAAAGTGGAGGGGCACACGATAAGGGTTCACATCGTAAAATTCCTCGCAAACAGTAACAATTATCACAGACGGAATAGCCGATTCCGAGAACTTTGCCCCCTTCTTTGTAATACACACCATCCACAACACAACCACCTGGAATTTTCACAAAAATCAATTTTACAATGGTTCAACGGTTCGTCTAAACCGGAAATTAACACTACCAGCTGGTTCAGCGGGTTAAAAAAACCCCAAATTCCGAGTTTCGTCAAAATCGGACAAAGTTTACAAAATTTTGAAAAAAAATTAAAGTTGGCCAATTGTGATAAAACTGACACCAAGTGTGTAGTTTAACGCCCTCTTTGCGAATATGTGCTTAGAATTTGTCTCCGACGTCGGGTTCGGGAGTTAGGCCCTGATTTATGAAATTTGGGTGCTAAGTTTGGGACTAGCTTAGCACTATAGTGTGTAACTCGGGTAAAAATGATCCGATTGTGATGAAATTTTGATGGTGTGTTTTTGGGGTCTTAAGTGGTGACTACACCAAGTTTCAGCCCCTTTGTACTTCGATTTTTCCCAATTTTTACGATTTTGATAAAAAAATAAAAGTTGACCGATTGTGACAAAATTAACACCAATTGTGTAGTTTGAAGCTTTCTTTCCGAATATGTGCTTAGAATTTGTCTCCGAGGTCGGGTTCGGGAGTTACTCATTAATTTATGAAATTTAGGACCACTTTAGTGTGTAACTCGAATAAAAAATAATCCGATTGTGATGAAATTTCGATGTTTCCCAATTTTTACGATTTTGTTAAACAAATAAAAGTTGGCCGATTGTGACAAAATTGATACCAAGTGTGTATTTTGTCGTGTTCTTTCCGAATATGTGCTTCACATTTGTCTCCGAGGTCGGGTTCGGGACTTAGGTCGTAATTTGTAGATATTTGGGGCCAGCTTAGCCCTCTAGTGTATAACTCGGGTAAAAATAAAATAAGTGTAATGAAATTTTGGTGGTAGGGCCCTAAATAGTGACTACAGCAAGTTTCAGTTTTTTTGTATCTTGATTTTTCGCAATTTTCAAGATTTTAATAAAAAAATAAAAGTTGACCGATTGTGACAAAATTAACACCAATTGTGTAGTTTGACGCCCTCTTCCCGAAAATGTGCTTAGAATTTGTTTCCGACGTCGGGTTCGGGAGTTATACCCTGATTTATGAAATCTGGGTGCTAAATTTGGGGTTAACTTAGCACTTTAGTGTTTAATTCGAGTAAAAATGATCCGATTGGGATGAAATTTTGGTGGTGGGTTTTTGGGGCCCTAAGTGGTGACTACAGCAAGTTTTGGTTCCCTTGTACTTCGATTTTTCCTAATTTTTACGATTTTGTTAAACAAGTAAAAGTTGAGTATATGCTTAGAATTTGTCTACGAGGTCGGGTTCAGGAGTTAGGTCATAATTTGTAGAAATATGGGACCAGCTTAGCCCTCTAGTGTGTAACTCGGGTAAAAATGAAACAAGTGTAATGAAATTTTGGTGGTGGGGCCCTAAATAGTGACTACAACAAGTTTCAGCTTTTGTATCTTGATTTCTCCCAATTTTCAAAATTTTGAAAAAAAATGTAAGTTGGTCGATTGTGACAAAATTGACACTACTCGTATAGTTTGATGCCCTCTTTCCGAATATGTGCTTAGAATTGGCCTCCGAGGTCGGGTTCAAGACTTAGGCCCTAATTTATGGAATTTGGGTGCTAAATTTGGGGCTGGCTTAGCACTTTAGTGTGTAACTCGGGTAAAAATGATCCGATTGTGATGAAATTTTGATGGTGGGTTTTTGGGGCCTTAAGTGGTGACTACACTAAGTTTCAGCCCCTTTGTACTTCGATTTTTCCCAATTTTTACGATTTTGATAAAAAAATAAAAGTTGACCGATTGTGACAAAATTAACACCAATT